AGCAGGGGAGCAGTTCGACCCAGTCACTGGACGAATTCAGCGAACCGCAACGCGAGCATCATCAGCATCAGCTGGAAATCCTTTTGAACTCACTGTCGCTTTTCGGGCGTCTTTTTCTGCACCGGAGCTTCCAGGATAAAGTAAGGCATGGCCACATCGTCGATATTCCCGCGAATCAGTCTTCAATAGAATGTGGCATCTCGATGCGGCAGTCCGGCCTTATCTAGAGGGACTGCGGCTGGTCCACTTCCTGTTTCTTTCGTCCACGGACCCTGTTCCCGCGACATTTCTTGCACACTGGCTGCGGGTCAAGGTCAGACGCCCAACTGTGCTCAACTGCCAGTGTGCGAAGTCAGTGCTTGAATTTTCCGGGAACAGATCACACCCGGCTTCTCGCACCCCGCGCCTCGTCGAAACGAGCCGCTGGCTTACTGGTAGTCTTTACTTTAGTGCCGATGAGACTGAACAGCGAATGCTTTGCAGCTTCAGCAACGTCATTCCTGGTGCGACACCTCTCGGCTTTGCATTTAACCACAGATCCCAATGCCCTCGACGACGAATCCTGCAGATTTATTTCAACCAGAACAATCCTGAACCTACAAGCCTTGACACCTCCCAAAAGGTTCCCCAAACGCTCTTCTGACGCTCTGCCTCCTCCAGAACCTGTGCGGCTCCCTGCAACTCGGCGTCGCCGGGCCTGAATAAGACTGAGGGCACGAGAGGTGCCAGCACATCATTCAGAAGAAACGCAGACATTTATTTAGTCTTAACATGTCTTAACACTGCGACGAGCCATGAGACTGTACCTGTGAGGCACAAACGTTAAGCTGCTTTGGGGGTGATGCGTTGCACTAGCTGCTGAACTCGTTTCAACGTCGGCACAGAATCAATCGAGCAAATAGTGCTGCGTCGTATGCTCCTTGCGACTAATCACCCGACCGCACTGCTCCAACGCCACGTTGCAGAAGCCACCAATACATTGACCGCTTGGGTAGAGTCGAGAGCGACTGAAAAAGCAGCGAGTCAGACTGTCTCTGTGGGTAGGTATCTCAAAGATTATTTGCATGTCACACGCGGCAGTGGCCGTGAAGAGATTCGGCAGAGGGGCTGCCAGAAGTTCAACACACGACTTCAAGTTACCGTGTCGGCCCCAGCGGCCTCGGTGCATCCTCATCGTACAGCCAATCCCTGCCAGTGGGTGGACTTCGGCCGTCTGTATTGAGCAAACCTTCGGAAGGCCAGGCCTCAAACTAGCAATTCCGAGGTGGAGACAGATTCGCTCCTTCATCAGACTTGCTCTCCATGAATGCTATCAGACAGGTTCACTACAGTAGCTTGCGCCTCGAGGAAGTAATCGTTGGGCTTCACCTGGGATCGGTGAGGCAGGCAGTTGCCGATGATTGCAGACCTACATCCACAGACCAAAAAGCCAAGGCGGTAACCATGTCCTCGTCCATCATGGACAGAACTTTCTGCCTCGGCGAGCAGCCGCAAATGCCCAGTGGCGTGCTTGTTCTGTCTATGGAATTTCCGAAGATACCAACCGAAAGCTCGACCATAGCTTTGAACCAGTCCAACTGGATCCGAGTGGCTCAAGCTCTACAGCCGCAGCGTGCCCAGGTTGCTCGTCTGCCACGAACCTACAGACATCGCCAAAATCTACCGGTGACCATGTAAGATACTAGTGCTGCTTTGCTTCGGTCTGTCTGTTGGATTACAAAGCTGTGCAGGCACGTCAGCTAAGACCCAAAGCGTTCTGGCTTCTCACAGCTGATCCAGGCCTTGCACATGCCCCCATGTAAATGGTGTAGTGGATAATGTTGGCCCTTGGATTGGCACGGTAATGTATGGCCGAGTGGTAAGGTCTCTTACGGCTCAAAAAGAGGGCAACCACTCAGTGACTCTCAGGTCACCACGACGTCAGGAAGACGACTTCTTAGTTACGTTTCCTTAATTTACATCTCGCTTGGACAACCTGCCGCCAGAGCGTCGGGATGCTTGCGTCACGCATCCGCTTCAGTGCCTTCTCAGCATTCTCGAGATCCTTGGACTGCCAGCATCAGAGCATCAGGGCTATTGACACCTGAAGAAATCAACGGCACATCACTGTATTTAGCATATCTAGTTGGGACACAAAGCTATCAAAGCTCCTACTCTGCGAACTGCAATGGGCGAGTTAGTCCAAGCGTCTCTGCTTTCTCGGCAAGCTTTCAGAAGGCAGCCAAAATGCGACGGGTTCAGCTCGACGCCTTCTCTCGCCAGCTCTGTGCTACCTGTGCCTGACCTGCACGTTCTACAAGAGCTCAAGAAATCCATTTGTTCCTGCTCCGTCGAGGCAAGCCGACTAACCCGGGATAATCACTGCCCGCATGTAAACCTCTGGGCAAAAGCTGAAATAAAACTAAAGAGGACAGCGGGTCGAGTTCTCGTCCTTGCTTCGTATGCACGTCATCAGCATCAGCGTTTAACGCAGCAGATGCTACGAGTCTTGTATTTGTCATGTTTGTCTTGTTGTCATTGTCTACTCTGCTATTGAAGTACCGTTGCGCGTGCCATTGTCTTGGACAAGACAGTGCCTGTGGCTTGAGCTGCGTCCATGTCCTGCCAGGCAGCTTTCGACTCAGCCAAAAAAGGCCTTGGGAAAAGTGCTCAAAAGGAAACGTCTGCTCGTAACCACGTCCTTGAGAACGAGCTCAACATCTCCTGTCGAAGAGTCAACGCGCTTTTCAAGCATTTTCGAAAGCCCCCCGATGTCCTGCAGATGCGGCAGCATTCAGAAGCCCAGTAAGGCAGCCTGTGGCCATACAGCAGGCGCACGTCCGAGGTTCTGCAGCTTTCGCAGGGTTCTGCGGACATCCAGACGCCATACTAATGTAGTAATTAGTTATGTGCCGGCAATGGTAGAGCTGATTCAGATATTGATGGGTGTACAGCAATGACCAACGACCACTGGTGATCGAACGAACTCCTAAGCCGAAATCGGCTGTTTCGCAGCTGAGTCGCCCTGCTGTCGGGAGGATCTCTTTAGCAGCCCTATGTCGACCATCTGCTGCCAAATCCTCGAGGCTGACTGTCTGATTCTGTGGGGCACATCAGGGTGACTCTCCGCCCCGAAACACGGCATGGACGTGTCTGGTCTGGAAGACGAAGAGACATACTGTGCACCCAGTTGAAGCGCTCCTGCTGGCTGACTCGTAGTTGCCTTGAATCCCCAGCAGCTTCAGCACGGCGCTGTAGACGCTGTCGGTGGCTTCCAAGGAGCTGCTTTGGATCTCCTCACGAGAAGCGACTGCATGACTCTTCGAGTCTTCGAGCCGGGCTGCCAGCATCTCCTCGAAATATGCCATTCCCTCGTCAAATTCTTTGCAATTTGCAGCAGCACCTGCACGTAAAGTGGTGAGCTATCTTGGGCTGTTGTCACCCATCAGACGTCTAAATGCATGCTAAGGCACCAATGATCGCACTGTACCTGTTACGAATGAAACTCGAAGCTGCAACATGAAGGAATGGCTCTGCCCTCTTGTAATGTTGCCAGGTTGGCACCAACACCAAGATGTCAGCTACACGTTTTCAGTCCAGACCGTCGAACCGAAAGAATGTTGCAGGCACCCGTGGAGGTGCAAGCTGTGTGAATGTATGTAAGCATGACATAGCAAGTCGCAGACCAGCTGCATGATTGCATCCTTCACCTCAGCCTCCTCGAAGGCCTCCTTCGCCGCCAGGAAATTCCTCCCAAAGGAGATTGTTCAAGATGGGGGGGCCCTCAGCCCCGAGCTCAACATGCCAGCTTGCCGGAGCGGCAGTTTCAGGCTTGAGAGCTACGAAGCATCTAGGAATCTAGGAGCTCTGACGTGTCTGCATTTCGCAGGACCTACAGGTAGCAGTTTGGCGCTCTTGCCTCTTCCGCCCGGATTGGCAAATTTGGTTCGTAATGACCTTGGCATCCTCGTCTGCATCTTCTGGCTCATCACCAGGATTCCAGGACTTTACCTGTTGCTGCGACGGCATGGAAGCCACTGTGCGAGACGGGAATGCGCAGCAAATCTCTCATGCAAGGGACCAATCATGCTTCTTCCGTGCTGTGTTGACTTTGCAAGAAACAACATACACACGTGCGAACACATGCTCATGTATATTCATATATGTAAATATTCATGTCTATGATGCAAACACCTGCTCTCACAGGTACCGAAATGAAAAGAGTCTCGTTCTATGCAGGCTGCTCCCAGTTTGCAGTTTCCCTCTTGCGTGTCTCTCAATCGCCTCTAATCGGGCTTGGCTCCGCTTCAGCGAGATGCTGCTGAAGCTCAGGCTGCCGCTCCTCAGACTGGCACTGCACAAAACAGCGGAGCAGAAAAAGCTGATCGATCACAGCACGGGCAGGGTGTAATGATGGGAACTTGGACTCGATGTGTGAAGAACCATGAACTACATCATCATACACTCATACATCATCTGAGCTATTCTGAACGTGCCGAACTGGCTTCCAGTGTCAAAGATGCAGAGAGTATTTCTGAGCAGTGGCGTGAGGTAGCTGCCGGGTGCACAAGCAGAGAGCAGAGCCCACGATGGCCGAGCACACACGCAAACGCACACACAGAAGACGCGGTGACACACATACAAACGGACAGACAGAGACAGATCGTAGGCGGAGCTCCCCAGCGCGAGAAGCAGCAGCGCAAGCAGCCCATGGCCTAGGCGCCCTTTGCGCCACGTCGAGCCCGAGGCAGCCCATGTGCTTGAAGCGGAGAGGCACATCCGCATGGCCAAAAACAAGGCTCCCCCAAGCAATTTCAGCTCGTCTTGGCAGTCGTGTCACGATGTGTCACGCCTTCATGATGCATGTTCAATGTCGGCTGGTGGTGCTCGTCCTTTCAAAGCGGCATGCTGCGTTTCCCATATGCCAGTGTCCGTGAGTGCAGCGCAACATGCTTGATGCCCAACGCAATTTCAGCTTCGCATGCTACCGTGGGGCTCTCATGTTGATTTATCTGCTTGACGTGTCAAAGTTCCTCTACGAGCTTGAACGCTAATTGCCCCAGGCTAGTCGGCGACGCCTGCCTAGCACCTGACCTATCACGTGTGCAAGACGGCCGCGGCTGTGCCCGAGCCAATCGCAACCTTCCAAGCTAAACGCGCTGTTGTGGCAATCGCCAACTGAGCCCGACACTCGATACGTGTGCCCGAATCTCGGCACAGGGGTTGACAAGGAAGATTAGACTGGAAACCGCCGCTCTGGTCTTGGTACTCGGCACAGCTTCGCCGCAGCTCCGGTGCAGATGCCTGCGGCACAGGCGATTCCCCGCTCCCTTCGTGGCATAGCGCTGCAAATTCTGCAGTGCATCACAGCTTTTGCCTCCGCCGAAGCCAGCTGCAGCAGTGGGACCTCCGAACAAGACCCTTGCTTTCTCTGTGATTCTTCCTGCTTGTGCTCGTCCATGTCAGCGTTTGCAATGTCTCCAACGATGCGCACCCTCGACACTGACACACGCACGCGCTCTCTCCTACTGCCCGAGCCCTGTGCCTGCAGGTGGCTCAGGGACTTCACCACCTGACGAGACGCTGACACGACAAGCCACACCCAAGCACAACCATGCAGCACAGTCGCACAAAGAGGCATGGTACAAGTACCACTAAGGCCTCCTGCAGCATGTGGGGAGCAAGCTGCCGAAGGTCTGAATGAGCTGCCATGCAGCGACTACACGACCTTCATACGGCCCCTGCACTGCAGCTGTTTCGGTTCAATTCGCTCAGCGGGCCTATTGGGCGACCGCGGAGCTGCCTCTATGTCGTGCAAGGTCGGAAGTCTTGTGCTCATCATGTTCGAAGTGGCTCTCTTCTGTGCAGTCCTAATTGGGGAACCTGGGCTTTAGCAATGGCAACAAGTCATTCCTCGTGACTTGCGATGCGGCACTAGGGAAGAATCCGCTTGGACGTGAAGCCACGCTGCACGTCGAAGTCGAGCCGGCGAAAGTGAGGACACATGACCGGACAAGTAAGGACTTGCGGCATCTCAAGTGTAGCGAGAATGGAGAGGCCACCTACCTCCACGGCTAACTGCCGAAGTGGCTGTGGTTGCCGAGCGGTGCGTCATCGTCGAACGCTTGCATGTTGAAAGTTGGAAGGACCCGTAGCTTTGAGACATGTTTTCTTCGAAAAACACGCCAAATGTCCTTGCTAAGTTGTACGAGTATGGCAAGGCGCTGAGGGGAGGTGTTGGCACGAACGGCGTATACACAGATGTACACAACCTTCAAGACCACTGTGCAGGGCCGGTTCCGGCCAAAGGTTCCTTGAATCCGTCAAATCTGAAATCGCTTCGCCAAGCCAGATACCACAAAGGTCATCCACGTCTTGCGCAGAGTTGGCTACTCTTCGGTCTTGCCCTGCATGAGCGGCCGCACAACTCCTGGGCCTCAATCCCCATCATGGGCAGCAGGTGTTGCTAATCCGCGTGATGCTGTGCCACTCGAAGCGCATGTCAGCAACAGGCCATCGGACGGTCATGAGCCGCGCATAGCCGCGCCTTGAAGCCTTGAACTGATGCTGGGCGCAAAATGAGCAGCAGCTTGACACAAGGCGAAGAAGGCGGGCGAATGACATGAAATGACATTGATATGAATGAGCAGGTGTGTTCTCGAATGTCCTTGCAACTTTTCAGACATGATACAGAATCAAGGGACTCGCGATTTTGCACTTCTGGCCCACGGTATATAGATACAGTACAAACTAAGAGACGCCGGCTTGCAACACCGCAGGACGGGTCCGCGCCTCCGGGCTGCAGTCATCCAGCAATACTGCAGCACCTGAGCGTGATCTTGACGCGAGTCCGCGCCCGCTTGGGTTTGAGTGCATCTGCAAGTCTTAGCACAATGCACTCCACGCAAGCTGTAGCCTCTGAACGACTCGCGTCAAGCTGTACGCGAAGTTTCCAGAGGCAACGCAACTCCGGCCTGCTCTCCGTTGCCCTGCAGGATTCCTGCCGAGAGCTGTGCTTGCAACGCCTGAGCCGAACACAGACAGACGCGGAACGCAGCGGCGGCCATGACAAGGCGGCATGCCAAGGCTAGGCTCCCGTGCGGGCCAGGGACCGGCTGCCTGAACGTTGGCGATGCAGGCGAAGAGGAGGCCTGTGACACCGGATCGACGAACCCTCTGCCCACCGACCTGCTGCCACCGCGGCGGCCTTGCAAGCTGCTGTTCTTCTCGCCGAGGCCTGGCAACAAGGCCTTGCTCCAACACAGGCGATGCTCTGCTATGCTATGAGCTATGCGAGGCTCAGGCTCAAGCCGTTCGAAGAGCCTCCTGGTCCTGAGCGGACAACTCGGACCACTGGCGCTGCGTCAGCTTTCTCCTGGCGAGACCACGAACAGAAACAGGCGGTGAAGACTTGCACGCGAAATCACGCGGCGGCCGCACAGGATGGTCAAGGCCATCTGTCGAAGGGGCACGGCATCCTCGAGGATGCTTTTCGACTAATTCAAACGGCTGGACACTCTACCGGGGGAAGCACTGCTACACAGCCTGAGGCAAACAGCCCTGGCACGCTTGCGATGTGACCCTGCGCCCGCCTGCGAGCCAGGGCCTTGCACCGCCCAAACGGCCAGCCTCGAGCATCGCCCGAGCCGTGATTCCAAGAGACTGGGTGCACCCATGCAGGTCACGAGATGCCGACCGCGTGGCAAAGCCAGGCTTCAGCCGCACCCCTGCGCTTTCCGAGCTTACATGAGATTACACATCTACTTACACATCTAGGGCTCATCCCATGCCTTCGAGTGCCGCCTCTGCAGCATTCCTCTGAGGCCTCGGAGTCTCGGCATGTCTCCTCTCCCAAAGAGTCTCGCATTGCTCCACAAGGCCCCAACGCATCGGCTGAACCCAGGGAGAGAAGCAGCTGGCCAAGCCTTGTGGTCATGGGAACCCCTGAGTATTCCCATCCGAGTGGCGAACTTTGATCTGAGTGCAACACTCCTGGTCCAACGGATCGGATGCCATTAGCACTCTTGCCAAGCTAGGGGCAGCATAGACTCTACGACTGACTCACAAGCGAGTGTATCTTTGCAGAGCGGTTGTCGTTGCGACAAATCGACGCCGATATGTAATGTTGACTCTCTTTGGGGTTGACGGTTGACAGGGATGCTGCGAAGCTGCTGAGTTGCCTTTGGAGGAACGGCGGCTGCATGTTCTGTCTGCTCCGGATCTGTGCCGCACTTTGCCGATACAAAAAGACACACCGGTTTGTCAAAGTACACCAGTAGGATCAATTAACTGGGTTCCACAAGACTAGATAAAGACGGCCCGGTCACCTAGCTCGGCCCCTCTTACGCACTCTGTGCCGGAGGTGGAGCGGTGACACTACGTTGAGCCAGTGCGTGGGGCAGGCCGGAAAGACAGTGAGATGCTATCGCACTGACCATGGCAGCCAGCATGCAAGTTGGTGTGTGCTCACCCGATGCTCCTTTTTGCAACACACCCAGAGATGCAACGAGATGCATGTGGTTCCTTGCCTCGCCCCTGTGTGCAACTGTTCTGCAACTCGCCGCCTAAACTACACTTGCAGGCAGCTCTGTGTGTAAGAGCACCTCCACAAGGGCCGCCTTGAAGCCCCAAGACGAATGGAAAACATGACGACTTCGACAGAAATTGCCGAGGGTTCCATCTGAGTCGACCCCAGGGCGGCAAGTTGGCACTGTGCATGCTAGTGGTGTTGAAGGGAGTTTGGGGGTCTAGCCTGCCCTCGTTCATGCATCTACACTGGACGAAGAAAGCTGCACGTGCACCTGCCTGTTAACCATCTGTGCGTATCCAAGTTATTACAGGTATTTTAAGGTCACAGGTTTCAGCTCTGCCGACCTTCTGACGACGGCATTTTGGTCAACGAGCCACTGCGGAGAACGAAGCGCTCTGCCCACCTCACAAGGAAGAAAGACACTGAGGACTTTGGCTTTGATTTGTGCTGCACAAGGCCGTCCAGCGGTCACCTTCGTCCGCAGCCATCGGTGTAGCTCTTCACTCGCCCTTCACCGCTTTTTTTGCCTGCGAGGGGCATGCTCTGAAACTGTGCACCGCATGTTGAAGGAGCTCAGAAGACCAAGAGCACACCATGCAACCCCGAGCAACGGTTGCATCTCAACGCTTGTTTGGCTAAAGCTCAGTGGTCGCAGCCGTGCCAAAGCAGCGTGGACATCCAACGATAAGGGCATGCACCCAGGGTGCAAATTTGTAGCGGTCCAGCTCCTTAGAGACCACTCAATCAGCGTGGGTAGAAAACACATAGGCTTTGTATGCATAAACGGACCTTCAGGGCCAAGTCTCTGCTTGCCTGGTGTAGTCGTCAAGTGACCAATACTCCAGTGCGTCCACTTCCTCATCACGGTCGCCTGCATCTGCACCCAGGCTCCCCTTCGCGGAGTAGACGATGTTTTGATCTAACCTTCGCTGTCACAACAGTCCTACTACTCGTAGTGCTATGTTGCAAATGATCTCGTCCCAGTAGAAGCCGTCGGCTGTTGCGCAACAGTGCATTAACAGCTGCCTGCACGCACGACCACGCAACCAGGAACTTTACTTTCAGCTCAGACACTGGCAAAGCTGCATCTTTGGCAACGCTCCACTCCAGCCTATGCGTGTGGAGTCAGCTTCTCCGGAAGTTGAAAGTCGTCATGCGATCGGTCAGTCTGCTCACTCTTGCCGTTGTTTCACTCCGGCCCCATCCCCTACAGAGGGCGCCTGTGTTGAGTCGACAACACTCCGTGAGAGCCGGCAGCGCTGCACGGCTCCCAAGTTCCTGCGAGTAGTCCGCCCCTCCCTGCTTCCATTGGGATCCATTGGGCCTTCTCTGACCTGTTTTGTCTCCGAGTCCTCGTGGACTGCACGCTGGGCGGCCGCCTGAAGGTCCTCGCCCATCTCGACCGTCTCCGAGGCACCTCGCCAAGGCTCCGGTCAAGGCACGTTAAAAACTGGCGCTGTGCTCTTTCCCTCGTCATCTCGATTGTCTTTCTTCGTCTTTGTTCTTGCCGGTCTTGCCCTCTCGTGCTGGTCATGCTGTGTCGCCAGCAGATACATGAGACGACCCCGTTGTTCATCATGTTTTACTTCTCGGTCGAGCCGTTAACACATGCAGCATCTCGATTTGAGAGTTGGCGGAAGGCTCTTCAATGCGTCGGCCTCGATACGTTGAAGACAGGATGTTGCGATAGCACGGAGTTGGAGATGCATTCTCTGTCTGAAGGTCTATGTCCTCGCAGAATGTCCAGCAGCACCTCCTGACGACCGTCAAGTGTTGTGAGACTGGATGCGTTTTAGCATTGACATCCTCACATTTAGCTGTCGTTGCTTAAGTGGCTGAATGACGTTGCAGCATGGGAATATGTCTGTAATTCTGGACGTTAGGCGGTTATGAGATATCATGCACGAAGTAGAAATGCATGGACGACGCCGCCAAGCTCACCTCATTCGTCATGCGTTTCATTTATTCACGACTGACAACGAAAACACCCAGCTGGTCCGATCAGAGCTAAACACGGCGCGCGTGAAGCGATTAGACCACCATTCCAGCAAAGTCATCCCAAGATGTCAATGTTATGAGACTTGCAGAATAGGATCGCTGAATTCGATAGCCCCACACCCGTTGAGGCTGCAGCGCAGTTTACGGACTGTCAAGCTGTGCCAGATACGGCAACCCCTCGTCCAGCCCTTGGCTCGCCTAGGTCCCACAAGCCGCCCATCCGCCACTTCCAGTCAGCACGTCTCTGGAAGAGTATACGGCCATCGGGCAAGCTCGGAATCACCTGAGGCATGGCTTGAAACACCGGCCACCGCAGACATCAATGCTCAGCGACTCGATCTGAGGATGCAGCATACACAGTCCGATGCCACTGGCAGGACGTTTGAGCCTATGCCGGCCATAGCTTGACTTATGTATAGAAGCCTACGTGACCTACATGAGCAACGCTCCGTCCCCTAGGGTCCCCTCACCTCCAAGCTGGCCCTGTCCTACGAGATCCTACCAGTCTGTGCCTGCCACGCAGTGCTGGTTCCCAAGTGCTGGCCGTCGGCGTCGTAAACGTCCAGACCATCGCTCCAAGACGGGTGTTCGGGAGCTGCTCCAACTCCAACTTGACCTGATGATGGAAAGAACCGCAACTTAAGGAGATACCCTTGGCCGTTGATTGACCACACCCTTCGGCCTCTCGATGGGGCTTAACAGCGAGATTGCTGGACGCCTGCCACATCCTGCCACCCCCACAACCCACTGCACCTGCAACGTACGGGCCCCAAGGACTCGGCCAGCAGGGCGTCACCTGAGCTCCGTGTCAGACAGCAGGCCGAAGAACAGATATGCGCCAAGCTCAGGAAGAGCCGGAAAATCTCTGCACGGCCATTCGCTGCCAGGCAGCATTCCAGCCGGCATGGAGCACGCGCTGCAGGCAGCCTCTAAGACTCTTGGCATCCCCCCATAACTCTGCTAGCTGCAAATACTACGAGGGCTAAGGCATCATGCAAGAGCATCATGAGGTGAAACACCTGACCTCACCACGTTCCGGCTGTGCCGGCTTGTAGTTAACCATATAGTAATTGCGGACGATACAGATTTCTCGTCGCTCTGTTGCCGAATGTTTCTCTTCGCCTCGCCTCGAAGCTGCTCGGCGGCACTGAAGCCTCAGTGCATTGCACATGGCTTGCGACACCTCTGGATGTCAGATAGAAGTTGCTTGCTCAACTTCAAGTCGCCTAGGAAGAGTGGGCACCACCTTAACCACCTTTCAACACTTGCAGCTGTCTCCTTGCAGCAGGGAGCTCAGGAGCAGCCAGTGCCATTGCATTAGCACTGCTCCACGCAGCAGATTTGTTCGGCGGGTTCAATGAAACTTGCGAGGGGCTGGGGATCTGAACGGCTCAATCTGCCATGCAAGAAAAGATGCTGGCTAGCTGCAAAAGCAACTGACGCCCCTACGTAGCTTCCTCCAGCACAATGTGTCGAACGGTCGCAACAAAACGAAATGCGATGCAGATCCGATGAGCAAGTGCGCTCCGTTTCTGGCTGGACACAGCTCGCTTGCAGGTAAACCGAAACACTGCCTGTCACGACTTGTTGCATGAGAGACTTGCCGGGTCAGAGGCGAGCTACAGTGGCTCTCCAGCCGCGTCTGGTCTGCCTGTAGGAGTGCAGCATCGTGCAGCTGCTGTTCCTATGGTGAACGCATACTTATAGTGCTGGACGAGCGAGGGAAGAAAACCGAGGCTCAGGCACTCCCTTTGTCACTCCAGACGTTCCTCAGCACGTAAAGGCAACACCATCTCGCTTGCTGCTTGCTACTACCTACCCTCTGCTTAGAAAGTAAAGATGACGTCTCGGCTCGCGAACACCTGAGCGCTGTGCATCTTCGACCGCACGGAGCAGCAAGCCCAGCCTGAGAAGACTGTCTCAACGGGTATATGTGGTTACCATGTGTTAAAGGCCTGTTCACGGCTGTAGTCAAAGCTGCGCCAGACTGCAAGACTCTGCCACAAGGCTCTTCCATGTAGATGACTTTTTTCCCACCCACCCTGCTGAAGCGCAAGGTGTTCTCGCAGTATCTCAACATCGTCTTGGTCTGCATCTTTGGCCTCAGGCCGAACTGCAAGGTGTTTCCGCGCCCATCTATATAACCCATCCAGACATGAGCTCTTGACTTTCAAGAGGTCATACATGCACACATGCACCAATGCATCCAATATACAGCCGATGTGTCGTTGTCTCGGAGCACCCGTAGAAGAGTAAGAACATCTGATGCAGCTTGCTTCCCAAACTCGACAGCAGGTTGGTTGTAGGCATTCACCTTGACATGCTTCGTATCGAAGCCACAGTCGCTCGAAGCACTGCAAAAAAAAATTCAGTGACAAGCTTCTCCGATCAGCGCTGCATACAATCCCACTGCCCTTTCGAACAAAGCGATGAGCACCTGGTTTCGAGAGCTGCGTCATGCCTTCAATTTGCTGCTTTCAGCGAGCGCATACCGTCGTTAAAGCCGGGTCATCTCAGCCGAGGTGCCCCCAAATGGAAAGCGTCCACGCGCTGCAAGGTGATGGTGAGGCTCCTCGAGACCACTAGATCAAAGGGATTCAACCGGCAATGAATGTCTGTACCCAAGAGCAATGCAGAGTTCCTATGCCCCATAGGAAAAACAGTATGTGCTTGCAGAAGTCGCAGGTGTTTAGTGTTCTCAGGACTTAGGAATCCTTATGGTCGGAGCCGTGCATGACGTCCTGCGTCCGGCAGCTGTCAGTGCGCGACGTGTGCCAACAAGGAAGGCCAAGAGATAGTCGCTGCTGGTGATCCCTGTTTCGACCTGACATGTCTTGCGGCATCACATACTGCATCAGATACAACTCGCTTGCTGGAAGGGGTGGGTTGCCTCTTTGCTGTCCTTATCGTGGACCCCCTCCATAGCCGCAATGAAGACGACAAAGAAATCATCAGGGCCGTCCAGAAGCTGCTGCAAAATCGCCTCTGGCGGGAATTGAGGCAGGCAAATGCTGCAGTGGCAAAACGAATGCAGTCTAGGCAAGGCGCATGCTGGTCCGTGGATCCCTTGTTCCCGTACACTGTCAGACCGTGGTTCACCACGTCGCCTTGCAAGTTCCTTGCCTCGCAGTCCGCAGGGTAGGAACACCGTGAAAAGCAACCCCCGCGCTGGTTCTCGGGCACCGGAGCCTTGCCGAGAGATTCCATGACCAACTGCTGCAAGTAGCGCCCAAACAGCTGGAGGCGGTCCCTGCGCAAATGCTTGGAATTCTTCGCTTACCGATCTTACCGGAAGCTCTGTGGCCTGTACGGCAACACCACCATCGCCCTTCCCGCCAGCGACTGCCAAGCACGAGCCAGCAAGACGGCAGGATTCCTCGAGGCGCAATGGTTTCACGGAAGACGGCGGCAAACAGTGAAAAACGCCGGACCAACAGACTTTCGATGGAAGAGACCATAAAACAAGCAACCAGCTCTTCCCACACAACATCCACTGCTCCAGAGAGGAGTAGTCCAAGGGCCAGTCAGAGCCACTCTTGATAACAGTGGTCAAGGACGACAAGCAATCCCTGCGCAAGCCTTCCCTAGCTCTTGTCTTTGCCAGCCGAGGCACCCTGGTGACAGGGTTCGAGTGGCGACGTCGCAGGCGGCTGCACCCCTGAAGCTGTAAGGATCCCTCACACCCAACGCGAAACTTGCGAACGCGATCGGAAGTGCACAGGCATGGAATGCATGGATGCCTCGGGCCTGAGGAGCGATCTCCAATCCATTCCCAGAAGCGCTGCAGGCAGCAAGCCTGGGTCACTTAAGAAGCCTTCACTGGCCTGGTGTCCAGCCTTTTTGCCCTGACACCCACTGCGGAGGCCCAGGAGGTTCGGCCGCCAACGAAATCCCAAAGATGAAGCCTCCGGAGGCCAGGCACTGCACCAGACGTGGCCAGCTCAAACCTTCAAACCACCAGTGCCGCCAGAAGCACCGGCCACGCCAGTGCTCTTCAGAGGCCATCCGGTCCTCCCCCACTTGCAACCATACAACAGCACTGTGGATGTCCTGCATTGCTGACCTTGTATCATACATGCACCAGATCACCCAAGACTCACCGGTCCAGACGCGAGCCAGCACATGTAATGGCGAGAAATTTCGAAGAGAAGTCCACGCCATGGGAGAGAAAATGTGCCTTGGACAGGGCAGGTTGCGACAGACTCAGACTGATAGTGTTGACAGGATGTTGAAAGGTTTGGACTATCACGGCAGGCATCACTCGCGTGGCAAGGGGCCTTCGTTTCAACCAAGGCGTTGCGGGTCTCAACGGTTCCACCGGACTTGGATGCGACCAGAACCTGCCAGTGCTGCGGGCTACGAAGCCAGAAACCCGGAATGTCTGCTCACATGCGGCCCGGCAGCCCATGTCGATGCCGGCTCGATAGTGCTCAGCACAGTGTGGAAGCCATCAGGGTCCTCTGGGCTCTGTTGCACAAAAACGTCTCACGAGCGCTTAAAGAGGGCAGCTTCACTGCAAATTTCGGTCCGTGTTGTCTAGGAAAGCGATTCTCCGCGATCCCGGGCCCAAGGCCTGTGCGGAGGAGAGTCTTTGAGGGTTTGTGCTGCTTCTCAGTGTCGAACGTGGTCTTTCCATGTGCGCAGCCTCCGACACGAGCTGCGGGCCCAGCGCCGAGCCACCAATGCCAAGTAGGAGCAGTGCGGAGACGTTGCCTGCCGCAAGACGCGGTACGTAGTGAGAACTCGAGCCACGATGAAATCTCCGAAGCTGACGAGCTGCTTTCAGAGGCCTCATGTGAAAGATCCTCTATCTGAGCCTCGGCTAGCTCGCACTGCGCTGGAATCGGTGGCATCGTCCGAAGCCAAGCGGCCCAGCTGCCATAGATCTCTTTGCGCATCTCCTGCATCATCAGCGTGCAGAAGGCTGCAAGAGCCTGTCTGGCCTTAAAGGCCTCGGGAGCTAGCTCCGGATTCCTGAGCCAGTAGTGCCCGACCTCAGCTCGCCAGCGATTTGTGGCTCCGGCGATGCCTGGCCAACCTCTTACGTCAGGACAAGTCTCAATTCCCTCAGGAACCCGCTTGTCGGCCTTCGTCTGGGTTTGCTATCTGTCCTCACGACCGCTGCTACGGCTACCGTGATGCTTGCGACGGTTATACTTAGTTGGTATGCAACTGCGCCAATGCTTTTCGCACATAAGTCCTCTTTCCAAAGCTTCCATGGACTCAAAAGCTGCATGGAGTGGTGGCGGGTGCGGAAGCTGCAGACGCCGCGCATCAACCGTCAGACCTTTTAGGAAGCGAAGGGGAGATCATGTTGTAGCCGCTCCTACATTGCCAAGATGTGCTGCTGCTCAGCTGATAAGCCCGCACTTGCAGCACGAGGGGCCAAGCGTCTTGCTCCTGAAGATCGCGTCAGCTTCACATCGGGTAGCATCGTCGGCTAGGGCGCCGATTGCAGTCCAGACGAATCGGTACATTTCCTCCCACCGTGTTCACGGATACCTCAAGCTGGATGCATGCAAGATCATGCAAGAACTAAACACCATGACGCCTACCCAGAGATGGCCCTGCACAGTTGCAGGGCTCACAAGCAGTTTTCAACGAGTGCAGTTGGGAGGCCGATAAAGACTTGGGCCGCATCCGGTGCCCCGTCTGCTGCGGGCATCCCCATCAGAGGCGCGACCCGGAGCTCTCGCTTGAAGCCATCAGCATCACGTACCGAGTCGTTCCAGTAAAAGGCGGCTAAAACGCAAGCCAGAAAGGACTGAGCTGCGCGCTGGGGGTGCTGCAGAAGCATCCAGCCCTTGCCATGGCATGTCGCTGAACGCTTGCAGGCTGTCGCTGGCTGTTGTCACTGGTTTCGGACCTCTTCACCACTTTCTGCATCTTCCATTTTTCGCCACTTTCCATCTGCCTAGGCTTCCGCAAACTTCAGTCTCAAAATCTATAATAGAGATGATTCGCTGTGTATTGCTGATTGATGATTGTAGTCTGCGCGCAGTCGCGGTTGATCAGAGACTCATCTTGGCACCACGCGCTCTCCTCGAAGAGCTCGACAAGCTGGCCCAGGATTCGGGTGCCAACCTCACTGCATTTGCTTTGTGCTTGTGAGAAAAGGCCGACACAGCGAGAAGCTTTACCAAGAGCAGCGGCCATATCTGCTGTCGTGGATGGAAGGTATCGAACGGCCACGGCCTTGTGAAGCACCTGCTTCTCGAGTAGGGTTACCAAATGCAGGCCCCGGATTCTGTATCAAAGAGAACTGGGCCTCGTGGAGCTTTCCTCCCTTCCGTCGCGGAAGTTTGGGCTGACCTTGCGCAAGCATCCAGTTGAAGCATCCGTAACACTTCAATTCGGGCACAGAGATCATGTTGGCAACTAGTCATGCTTCCGTCCTTCTGGCTCAACCGCTGTTGTTTCACCAGCTGCTGGCTGCGTCCTGTCCCAAAGAGGGGTCTGTAACCCATGTTTCGTCTTCGGGTCAAGTCTCTCGCTCTTCCACAAGGCTGTTGCCAGGGAGTGCGTGTGGCGTGGCAAGGGCCTCGCAGACTGCTTTCGCTGTTGAGCGATCCGAAACAGAAACCGGGTCAGTGCCAGTAGGGCAGTCTCAGTTCTATCTCCGTGTCCTCTCGGCGTCACCAGGTCCGGATCGTCGCGCCTGGCCCCAAAAGCTACGAACATCCGACCCACCAAAGCAAGGCCATGCAACGCAAGGCCATGCAAGCGGCATGTGCCTATATTGGCCATGGCCCCGCCTCCGCCTCGGCCTCGGCCTCGGAGAGCTGCTCCAGGATCCTCCGGCCGCTCCGAGAGGCAATTCGCATGCGACCGCATCTGCGACTCTGCGTTGCTGCGCCGCGCTGCGGGGGCATTATGCACCGCGACGTCGCTCGAGGCCTGTCGGCTGCCAGGCGCGCCTCCAAGGTGAGATCTCCCAGCGCATCCTGGTCAAGCTGAACGATCTGAGTAGGATCTGGAAGAGCGAAAGCAAAACTCTCCCCCCCCCACCCCCCGCCTGCAATGCAGCATCATCCTCGACAATGTGACCCAGGAGGGCCTGCAAAAGGCAAGATACACAGCCTTTTGTTTCGCCCAAACAGTCGAGATGCACCTGGATCAAGACTCGAGTGCCCGCACTGCTGGCATTCCTGGCAGCTGGTAAAACAGACCAAGTTCTACAGACCAGAGCTCTACTGGGTTTTGGATAGCTCGCGGGTCAGAATGAGAGCAGCCAAATCTACTCGGCTCTCGGCCTGATCGCTGCATCTCCCGCTGCGGCGGTGGTCACAGCGCCGGCCTGGAGTTCAGCTGCCAGCTCCCGGGACTCGTGGGGAGCAAAGGGTCCGAGCATAGTCTTTGTTTAAAGATTTCGAGCTCCTCGCAGCCCCGGTGCAGGTAGCTTCCCTTGAGAAAAGATAGCATAGTTTCGACTCGGTACCATTAGCATCGCATGACACCTGCTCTGTAGAAGAATGTAGAAGATCACTTTTTCTTAAGCATCCCCGTCATGTGCGATAACGAACGCCTGACGAAAGTTGCTTCAGTCAAGTTGTTCACGAATCAGGCCGCTTCGCTATGGAATGAACCTACGGCCTCGATAAGGTGAATCGCGCAGTCTCTGGCATCCGCTTGCCTTAGTGCTTGGCCGACAAGGAATGAACAGCAAGAGCAATGCAATGGCGTCTTTTGTGTCATTTGTGTCAAACGTACTTTTGATGACTTCGGGTGCACCTGAGTGCGACGTAGCATGCCTTCAAGAGCGTGAGCACCAAATTCGTGCAAATCTTGAATTCCATGCCGGCTCATGCAATTGCCACGATTGCACGTCGTATCTGTGACAGCAATCATCTAGCAGTTAGCTAATCACATGCTCCAGTCTGTGGCCATCACGCTGCCAGGGTGAGCGCGGAAATGCCGCCAGCATCACAAACGCGTGGGTCAAGTCCTCCCCGCCCATCCAGTTGGCAAGCAGCCGCACGTCTTCGAATTCATGCTGTGAAGGGGCTGCCGTACTCGTTGCAGCACAGGTACTACTCATTAACAGACACCCACATTTCTGCTTGCCAATCTCGGCTCGAAGTGCAGGATCCCCGTCAAGAGCGCTGGTTCTCCCTGTTTTCTTACGCACAAAGGAGCCGAAACTTAAGACATGTGAGCTCCTTCGTTCAGGAAGCGCTTCAGCTCCCCGAGCTGCGCTTCTGAGGCGGCAGCGCACAAGGGCTCCAGTGGTCGGGCGCAGAGGGGACCCCCCTGAGCGGTCTTCGGAAGTCTTCGGAAGCCCTCGTAAGCCGTACATTTTCGGGGATTTGGAGATGTATGGCCCCGCAGTTGTCAGAAAACTACTTGTGGATACAGCAGTAGTCTCTGTAACAGCATACTGTAGCTTCACTTAGGACTTTTCAAGACTTTTTAACCACTTGAGGAAGAAAGCAGGCTTCCTTGCAGTAGTATGACAAAACTCGGCATTGATTTGAGAGCGGCAGGTTCACGACGATTTATTATGTCAGGAATTGAGCTTCCACACCTGTCGAAGCATCCCTCTGCACCAGTTGCAAACTTCTCGGAGAGTTTGGCAGCCCGCGCGAAAGCAATGGCAGTTCCCTGTTGGGCCTGTGGCCGCACCAAAGGCCCAAATTCTGGATGGTCCAGCAGCACCCAGCCCGCGGTTGTTGCGAGCCTGAGGCCAGGATTACTAGGAAGTACTAAAACATGCCATGCATATCTGATCCACGACTGCCAACATGATCCACAATTGTCTGGGCAGCCGACGCGTCTGCCGCACAGCGGCGCCACTTACGTGAAGGATCCCACTCGAAGAGCTCCAGGGTCTCGCCCTTCCTTCAGTCAGGACATGTCATTCAGTTCAGATCGCGGTCCTTTCTTCCGCGAAGTCTTGTGATGCCCTGGATGTTGCTTTCTATTCTGACCACGAGCCCTTGCACTAATGCATGGTGGATACATGATTCAAGATGTTGTACTTCTGCAGCTGCATAACTGCCAAGCGATGTTGCTTGCCACTTGGCATGGAGAAACAATTACATTGACCAAGTTTTGCTGGAGCGTTAGCTCGGCTGGCAGGATGTCAGACAACGCCTGAGTCATGTTGGTTTCTTAATGACTGCTGTGTGGCCCCTGAGTTCCCATTGTAGAAGGCTTGTTCGTCGGGGGAATGCGATGTCAGCACGACAAGATCTTGTTTGAGATGGCTTGGCAGTGGCGGCCGCTGAGTGGATGTGGGCCCAAGTACAAATGATGTAAGCTCGTTTTCAGAATATACTGCTTTGGAACATCGTTGCTTCATAGCAGCGATGGAGTAGCACAAGCATGGGCCGCCAACTTCTGTCGCGAGGCTTTCCGAGCCGCAGTAAGCACACGCATACACACTACGCTGGCCACGATTCTGTTTGATCTCCAAGGTTGTGGAGGTTGTACTTGCGGCAGACCGAATTGCAACTCGATCATACCTCAGGCCAAAGCATGTTTCAGACGGGGGACAGGCCACATGCTGTGCCCATCGAGTATGCTTGAAGGCCACGTCCGTATCTTCGTCTGCCAAGGTGCAGAACCTCGTAGACAGCTCCATCTCCGACCGACAAGAGTGGCGCATCGGTCATGGAGGTCTCCGGACGGATCCTGAGACGAAACCGAGCTGCAAGTTGCAGAAGGGCTAGCTCACAGCCCAGCAGCAAATTTCGCGCTATTCGCGTCGGCGACTTGTCATGCTGTCGCTGATCCTGGGTGATACAGCCATCAGCAAAACACCAGAGACACTCCAGAGACTCAACCCACCGAATCCATCGAAGGCCGCCTAGTCGCAATGTAGCCAGCATCGACTTCCGAACGACCAAAGAGCATTTGCCCGAGCAGCTTGTCCTGCTCCTGCAGAGTCATACTTCCAGACAAAATGGACGGCCGAAATTGTCGACAAGTGCCATCTACTCGTGCGAAACCCAAAGCATCCTTGACATCCTCATCGGCAGGCTCTGTGGCGATGCCCTCGGCACTACCCTCCTTCCAGAAACGTCATGCACTCCAGAGATTGAAAACGCTCAGTGCCCAGAACAAGTTAATAGTTCAAAAACGCTCATCGGGGCCTCGACGGGGCGTAAGACCTCTGCCCCGCCAATGTGAGTTGGCAGAAATCGACTTCCAACCTTTGCTGAATTTACAACGGTGGGCTTCGGGTGTGACGTTCGAGGGCGGATTTTCAAGTCGATCTTGCTGTCTGATTATGATCATTGGTGCAGACCTGTTCGGCATGCTCTCACTCGGCAAGCTGCCTGTATCCAGCACCCTCCGTACGGAATACCCTGAACAGGGCCACGCAAAAGTCACCGCGACAGCGACTCAGCTACTGTTGCAACTTGGTAGAGGTGCAGGGGGCGCCTTGATGCGGGATCCGAATAAAGCGACCTTGCTGTGCTTGTCAGCCAGGTCCGGCGAGCAGCGGTATCTGATTGTGGTGCATGGAACCAGGAAGCTGCTCAAGTTGGCACAAGCCAGGTGAAGCTGCCTGATGCCGTTGCTCTTGGAGCGGAGCTGCAGGTTCTCAACGACGAACAGCTGCTTCTCCTGCACAGCCTGGCAGGAGCCTAAATAAGGATAAATGCATAATGCATGCACATGCATCTTCATCTCCGTAGACATGCTGCGTATATACATGTGTGTGTGAGCGTATGTACATACCTTTGTGTCATGCATACAGTTCAGAGGGCCTCGGCGGCGGCTTCCTCTTTGGGGCTCTCAGCTGCGCGGGTCTGCGCCCAGGACGAGAATCGGCCCATGGCGAGAAGAAGCGAAAGGTACTGGTACGTAAAGTGTTGGAGGTCTGCTTGCTTGCGCCTTGTTTGCAAGGAGTATGCCTAGCTTCCACAGTCTTATTCTAGGTGCTGTGCACGACAGCGGGCAGCGTGGACATGCTGGGTGCCACAGCTTTGAATCTGGAACTAAAACGTGCATTTATTATCACAACCTCGCCGAGTGGATGTGCAAAAGCGACGCCGCATCAAAACAGTTTCAAAACATCATGGTAAGCATGATCGCCAGATTCGAGGTGCTCCGAACGATCCGGTTCTCTTGCAACTTACAGTACCTTTTGCTATGTGCTGTCATGCATGGTCAGTCTATGTGATTCCACTCGCTTCCCTGCTCTTGCCATGATGGCGTGAGAATACGGCAGGACGTACATTCATGGCATATCTTCCCAGATTCATTGCAAGTAGTTTCGAGAAGTTCTTCATTTCTGATTACTCCAACCCATGTTCTGAGGTCTTGCGGCAAGTCCGAAGTAAAGGGAGGACAACCACCGGCAACGCCGGCGCTTGCTACGGCAGCTTCAGCAGCAACGACGAGAAGATCCTTGTTCATCATAAATTACAGATCATGGCAGAAGCGAAGACAGCGCCAGCTCTGCGGCTACCAGCCGCCATCACCACCACCACCACCATCAGCCACAACAACAGCAAGAGCAAAAGCCACAGATATAGCTGTCATTGCAACACCAGCGGCAGTAGCAATACTGGTAGTACTGATTACCAGCACTACTGATGCTTGCACTTATGAAGAAGCGAAGCACTCGACCGACTGAAACTGTCGTGCGGAATGCTGACAAGAGGCCGAAGCTAGCAACTAGCAACTATCCAATTCATGCATGGGATGGCACGCTACGAACATCGGGCTCATCAACAGCAACAACATGATACTCCTGTCATCATCAACATCATCAACATCGTCAAAATCTACGTCATCAGCGTATAAACATCGACATTGTCATCACTGCTTCACGATCAACATCATCATCATGCTTCTTAGTGCAGTATCCATTCTCGTGTTTATTCTCGCAGCCTTGCGTCTGCACCATAATCGCTACATTGCAATCCTAAGCATAGTCAAAGTCATCACCATCGGCAGCATCTTCGAAACATGGAGCAAGCAGATGGGGAGCCGCGTGCCTTTTCGAACAGCTCTTTGCCAACCTGTGCACATGCACGATCGGTACTGCATCCTTTGGTGCAAGCCTTACTTACTTGTGATTTCTAGATGTTTCTAGTTCTACTACTAGGCGGTTGTTGCAACTGTTTCTGTTCTTCTGCTTCTTCTCGATGCTTGGATGTGCCACCACCCCGCGACAAGACTGCCTCACACCTTCAAGCCTTTCGGCTTCGCACCCGCCGGAATGAATTCAGGTCACTGGTACGCATGCAAGTGCTGATAATCAACAGACGACCAAGGCATAACTGAAGCAAGGCTAAGAGAGGTGGAACCTGCAGCGCTTCCTTTTGCCAGCTCAGCAATTCCATCGGGGCAGAAACGTTTGCATGAAGTGCAGGAATCGCGGCGGAGTCAGCTTCTAGGCGAGTAAATCCCTGCCTGAGGCCGCAAGCGGCAGCTAGTGGACAAGCTAGTTATCATGTAACCCAGTTCGCTCACACGTGTCCGCAAAACTCGAACAAAGCAGACGCTACACTTCGCGTGTCCCTAGGTGCACATGTGCACAAAACGAACCAAGACCAATGCTTCGGCGGTGACTCCGTCGCAATCCTCTGCCGCATCGAGACCGGGCCAAGGGCAAATTCCGCAAGATGCTGTTTCACAGCAACGGAAGCTGGGCAGTCGGAGGTACCCAGCTGTCCATAGCACAAAGGCATTGACAGCACACTCCCCTTCGCGCCTGAAAGTCGTCTGCACAAGGCAGTTCTGGTTCTATGTGTCGGAATCTCGCACAGGCGATCTCGCTTCCAGGTTCCCTGGAGATTGGCCAATGGGGAATGGAGGGTGAGGCCAGGACCGGGATTATCTGAAGCTCTGAGACTCAAAATATCTTCTCTTAAGTCTTGCTGTATCTGAATCGTCTGGGAAACATCAGCACTGCTCGGTCCCAAAGGCGGCTCAGCCTACAGCACACACAGTAAGTCATTAAGGCCGTTTCGCTCACGGCATTTTCTGGTACATGTTTCCATAGTCCTGCCAAAATGCACTCACGTTTCACTGAAAGCTTTGGAGGAGAAGCGAGCTGCCAGCCTTGTGCGATGTGATGTAGAGGCACTTCGCGCGGGCCTGCAGAGGTCGCGCCCCAGAAGTCATGAGTTCATTGCAGCATCGCACATTTCGCAACATGATACCATGTGCAGCACCTCGTTTCGGCGCTCCGGGGTCGGTGCACGACGCGTGGCATGGGGGCTGGGCACCTCAGTATGTTGCAGACATGCAAACACCTGCGCGTGTGTTTGTGTGTATGTGCATGTACACCCCGCGCACACATATCTGCATATATAGATGCATATGCATGTACAATCATATACACATTATACAGACACAGTGTATCTGTGTATATACATAATAATATATACACACGAGCACAACTATTCTTTTTTAATTGTTCAACAAATGTGGCACGACGGCTCGATCAGATGGCAATGGAAAACGAATGCCGCTAGAACTCTTCTTTGCGAAAATACTGGGCAGCAGTGTGGCAGGCGGACTGCGCAATGGCAATGACAACATATTTCGAACGAGCACAGCTTGCATGTGCGAAACGACAATACACGCACAAGGAAGAGCGGATCGTACTGTCAAGCCCAATTCAAGCCGGCACACCAGACACACAGATAGATAATAGATGTGTGTAAGTTTTACATTGGATCTGTCGAGAAAACCGTTGCAATTGGGATTTTGCTTCCATCTTAGGGCCTTAGGGAAAGGCGACATGTTCAGGGCACATTGAGCGCTTCGGCTTCCATGACTTCAAGTTCAACTTCAAGCTCGCGCACTGCCCCATTATCAGAGTCTTTTTCATAATTTTGGGCGGTCCAGCAACATCAAATCAAATATGATCATCTGCAGGGGGATTGATGGAAAGATTGTACGAAGCGGCAGAATGCTACGACCACGAGATCGGCCATGCTCAGCACGGCACTCCAGCGCAGGGAGCGTCTTGCCGCAATGTGTATGCGCGCCCGTAATCCTGGCGGGTGACACTCGAACGGGCGCATGCAGTTCGTCGACATCATTTTGCATCTGGTGCAACACGATGCCACGAGAAACAACATGTCAGAGATGCCGCTGACGTGGTCCGTTCCTGCCCGAGCCAGGACTCGATGCTCAAACCCATCCTTGGAATTTATCCCTGCAAACCCGCGCATCCTGCATGAGGCAGCCCTCTCTGCACATCAGAGCAACACGAAGTGGTACTCGTAATTAATAGCCTTCGCAGGAAAATGCCACAACACTGACTGAACGACATAATTCGCAATGGAGCTGTAGGCTGGGTGTGTGTACGTGAAACTTTCACAAAACACATCTTCAGACGTCTTGTCTATTGTGCCAATGTATATTCATCTTCTTCTTATACACATGCATGCTGTGCTTTGGCGCTCGGAGACCATGTGTGTATATGTTTATTTAAAGTATGGGCACTGCACAACGTCGATGACTGACTTCGTGAACTCTTCTGTCCGTCCCACTCCTGGCCTTGCGCAGGCTCATCCGACCTGGGGGAGCTGTCAAGATCACAGGAGTCTACGAAGGTGTCAATACTGTTACAGTTACAATATCAGAAATCAAAATCTGCCATGTTTTCCTTTGAGGTACACATCATGTATACACACGAACACCCATGCGAACACAAATGTGCTGGAGCGCACGCACAACCATCCGTCCATCCATGCATGCACCCATGAGTACATACGTAGCATTACGTAGCTACGCATGTGTGTATGCGTATAACTTTAGGCAGAGGGTGGAGGGGGGGGACACTGAGGGAAGGAGGAGTCGAGACGGAGGGATGGGGAGGAAGGGAGAAGAAACGGAGCGGGAGATGCTGGCATAAGGCCTGGAAATATCAGATTACCAGATAAACTCTGACAAAGAAACGCCCGTCCGCGGACAGCAATTTTTGTTCTGCCACACCCCGGCCGTCTGTTTATGCTCGACCCGTGGCGGGCTTTTTGTATGCTGGACCTGGCGCTTTTTTATGCTTGACCCGGATATACTTTATGCTGTGACCCCTTTTTGCTGACCTGGTTTTTTACGCTCCCCCGGGCCCGGGGGGAGTGCCTAGGCTGTCCTTTTGCGAACCTAGCTCTGCAAGGGGCAGTGTCATTAAGCAGTAAGTAATAGGATCGTAAGCAAACACCAACACGCCTATGTACAGAGCGTAAACGGTCGATGTCGCAAGCACCCCCTCAAGCAAAACAAACACAATTGGCTGGTGTTGGGGCCGATCTCAAGGAAAGACCGCGCACAAGCGCCACCATTGGAGGCAAAGGCGGGGCTTTGGTTCTTGAAGAGCTGCTGTCACATCTGCCTGCATGCACGGAAGGCAGGCACACGCTATGAAAACAGAGATGACCCAACAGATTGCGCGCTGAACCACACACAACTCACATGATGGGTATCGCGCAACAAACCTTATCTGTGCTAACATCTGCGATGGAGAGACAGAGCCAAGCACCTGAAACGAACGCAGAACAAAAAAATGGCCTCTGTCTGTAGACTGATCAGTTTTGACATCACGAATGCTGTGGCCGAAAAGTGTAACCACACTCGCACTAGGAGCGGGCTTGGCCTCATCACGGAACATGACGCAGCCTCTGCGCCGAAACCTTTTCAGCAACGATGACAGCCACCGCGTCGACTTCACTGAAGCACAAGGTAGCCACAGGAAGCTTTTCCGCGTACTCGTCGAGCTTGAAAGCTTCTGCGCAAGTGGAAGCTTCTGCAGAGGGCGCTTCGCCTCACAGTTCCTCCAAACCACACGTCCGAAACAGCAGCTTCGTCATCAAGT